ATGTGTGGCCAATAGTACTGTTTGGACAGTAGTACCAAAGTCTAATCAACTCACGGATGTCCCGCCCACTTGGAATTATGGTATTCCTTCATGAGCTCCTTGTGCAGCTTCCCATATCGAGGCACAAAGAGGCGATGTCCTCGATAATAAAGCAACTCCCCCTCATGCCAAAACTCCTTGGTTCGCCCCTCTTTAGCTCCGTCAATGATTTGTTTGGCCACAGGGTCATGGGGCAACCCTTCTTTGATCCTCTCGAGCAAAGTACCCTCCACAGTCTCAATGGCATACCTCCGGCTTAAGCCATCCGCAACAGAGTTCACCTTCTCTGGCTTGTACTCCATGGAAAAATCGAACTCGGCAAGAAACTCTTACCAACGAGCCTGCTTGGGAGAAAGCTTCTTTTGGGTGAGAAAATAACTATTTACAATGTTGTCAGTAAAGACCACAAACCTGGAACCAAGCAAATAGTATCGACAAGTGCGCAAGTAGTGCACCACTGCAGTCATCTCTTTTTAATGAACCGAGTACCTCCTCTCGGTCTCATTTAACTTTCGGCTCTCATATGCAACCGGATGTCCCTCTTGCATAAGGACTTCGCCAATGGCAACATCGGATGCATCAGTGAAAACAACAAAAGGCTTGGTGTAATCTGGTAATACCAAAACGGGCTCACTTACCATGGCTTCCTTGATCTTTTCAAAAGCCTCTTGGCACTCCGTGCTCCACTCCCATACCTTGTATTTCTTAAGTAACTCGGTCAAAGGTGTGGCAATCTTGGAATAGCCCTTCACGAACCGTCGGTAATAGTTGGCTAGTCCCAAGAATGCTCTCAAATCAGTTGGCTTGGTGGGTGGCTTCCACTCATCAATCGCCCGAACCTTGTCCCTATCCATCTGAAGCTTGCCTCCTCCAACAACATGGCCTAGGAACGACACATCCTTCTGTGCAAACGAGCACTTTTCCTCTTTGACATAGAGCTCATTCTCCCGTAAGACTTGGAACACCATTCTCAAGTGCTCAATGTGTTCCTCCAAGGTCTTACTATACACCACAATGTCATCAAGGTAAACTACAACGAATCGATCAAGAAAAGGTTGTAGTACCTTATTCATCAATGTGCAGAATATAGCAGGGGAATTTGTGAGGCCAAAGGGCATCACAAGAAACTCGTATGAACCGTAGCACATTACACAAGCAGTCTTTGGTTCGTCGCCTTCGGCTATCCTCACTTGGTAGTATCCGGACTGCAAATCCAACTTGGTGAACCACCTTGCACCACCAAGTTGATCAAACAAGTCGACAATCAATGGGATTAGGTACTTGTTCTTCACAGTAAGCTTGTTCAAAGCTCGGTAGTCGATGCACATTCGAATGGAATCATCATGATTCTTCTGGAATAGCACTGGTGCACCAAAGGGTGCCTTCGACGGTCGGATATATCCCGTATCTAAAAGCTCTTTCAACTGTCTGAGAAACTCCTTTAACTCCAGTGGGGCCATACAGGTGCCTTGGCGGGTGGCTCTGTATTTGACACAAGCTCGATCTTGTGGTTCACCTTCCTCTTTGGTGGTAAACACTTCGGAAACTCAGTTGGCATCATATCCCTGAACTTTGCCAACACTTTTCCCACTTCAGTCGGGACTTCCTCGGTCATTGTGGGTTCAACTCCCACTAATGAAGCCACAAATGTGGGTTCCTCCCTGCGCACCCCCTTTGAGAACTAGATCGCAGACAACATCTTAGCATCGACTCCGGACTCTCGACTCACCGGAACAATGCATTGGTGCTTCGGATCACAAATTACTAGGCAGTCGACAAATGGCAAGGGGAACGCATTAATCCGATCAAGGAAACTAATCCGAATAACAAAGTTAAAATCATCGAGTGAGATTACCTTTATGGACTCTTTCCCCGTCCATCCTCCAATGTTGAGCTTGATTCCTCTTGCTTCCCCAACAATCGGAACCTCCTTGGTATTGACGATTTTAATGAACCCACTTGTCTTCTCCACCTGAAGATCAAGTTTCTTGGCAGCTTATTCAGATAAGAACAACTCTGAGACACCTGTGTCCACTAGTGCACTCATCTTTTAGCCCGCCATGGTGATGTCTACGTACATCAGTCCCTTCTTCTTGCGACCCTTCTTGACTTCCATGGAACTAATGATGGAACCAAGCTTCAAGGTATCCTTCTCCTTGATGGCAACAACTTTCACAAGATGAAGACAATCTCTCTTCATGTGATTTCCTCCACAATTGAAGCATGATAATTCACCCTTCTTTTCCCATGGATTGGAAAGCTTTTTGGGTCGATCATTCTACTTCCCATTACCCCCTACTGGCTTGTTGGAGCCTCCTTTGGCCTTCTCCCCCACCATTACCTTTAGGTTTTGGCTTTGGTTTGAGAAAGTATGTCTTCTTCACTTCAAACAAGGCAATGGCTTCGACTTCATCCAATGCCTTGGAGAGAGTTTTCACTCCCCTCCTCTGGATCTCCAAGTTGGCCCAACGTTGTAGTCCATCCATGAATGCAAAGAACCCTTCTGACTCACCCAAGTCGGGAATTTGCATTTTGATCTCAGTGAAGTTCTTGACATACTCCAAGATTGTACGGTCATGCTTCAACTGCTTCAGTTTTGCTCGAGCCTCGAGCACAAAATTCTTTGGATAAAAATGCTCTTTGAGTTCACCCACGAACTTCTCCCATGTCCCAATCGGATCCTTCCTTTTGGAACACCTATGTAGCCACCATAACATAGCAGCATCAATGAGATAATTTGAAGCAACATTTACCTTGATGGTATCATCTCCGATACCCATGCCTCGAAATAATTGCTCCATGCCCTAGATGGATTTCTCCACATCTTGGGCAGTTCGACTCCCCTTTAACTCCTTCGGCTTCGGGACGTCGATCCTGGGTCTTGGTGCTTGTACCTCCCCCGTCACCCCATTCAACACTGTAATCTTGTAGACAAGCAACTCACTCTTGAGCTCCTTCATCTCCCGTATCATCTGGGCCCTCATGGCCTAGTACATGCTCTCGAGGCCTCTGATACGCTCATCTACATTCTCTGTCAACTCGTTGATGAGTACTTGGGTCTCTTCACGAAGTACATCCTCCACAAACTCCACTTTCTCCAAACGAGACTCGATCGAATCCTGAGTCTCATTAACTTCGTTATATCGATCTTCCAACCTACCAACATTTTCCTCAAATGATGCCACGACATCCTTTGAGCTTCCACGCTTCTTCGCCGTAACAGCACGAGTCTCCATTACTTCGGTGGCTGCTGGGACCTCGTCATGGTTTTATTGTGCCATCTCTCCCAAAACTAGCTCTGATACCACTTGTCACGCACTTGAAATTTAAACACCTCAAACGTGCGACCTTAGTCGCCTTCTCTGTGATTGGGGCTAAGTCAGCCTGAAAATAACCCAAGCAAAGATGCTTATATTCCCAACAGAAACAAAAACAAGAGAACTTAGCACAATAAGCAAGACAAGAGAACTTTGAGAGAATGCTTTGTGATTTATCAAAATGAAGAAGTGAGTACAAATAAGGAGGAAAAGCCTCTATTTATAGTGGAGGCTCCCCTTAATGAACGACTAAGATTTAAGTACATTGACGGCCTAGATTGAATACAATCTCCTAAATCCCACAAATCAAGGGATTGTTATTACAAAATCTCTCTTAACTAAGGAAACTCTATCAAGCTAGCTATATGTTGCCTTAGATAAAAGATTACAAAGTTTATGGAAAGAATCATGAGGATTTTGCATTAAACCAAGGATTCTCCTGCCATAAACGTGCAAGGCCATTCATCTCCATGGAATGGGCCAGTATTCATGGGTCCAGAAAGGTCCAACACGCCACATAAGTGCTCTTGGCCTACTCCTCATGTGTTGACCCCGGTTGTGGGCTCGCGGTCCGTGACACAATCATTTAAATATGTCATTTTAGTTATAAGTAATTATACATTAATATATTTTAAAGTGGATCATTTGATCAATATAGTCACTTAGAACACTAATTAAATTATAACTCTCTGAAAATACAAAGTCACTCTAAGATTCCCTTAATCGTTCTCTTATGTGATTTTAACAACTAAATCTTATGAGTGATAGTTGCATCTCTATAAACTGATAGTACGTTGATAGTTATGATAACCTTAAACTTAGCATCAAGTTATCAACTACCATACAATTAGGATATTAATATCTTGGGTAAGATAAAAAAAAATGAGATCTTCTAAAAGTTAATCATCTTCTTCTTAAAAAAAACTTTTCTCCTCTGTTCCCAACAAAAAAGCATTAAATAACATTTATTATCTCATCGTTGTTTATAATTCTCTATCCAAATTATAATTCTCATTGTTGTTTATAATATATTTATAATTAAGGGACTAAAAGTGATAATAAATTTAAAGTTGAGAATTCAAATGAATTAAATAACAATAAAAGAGCTAAAAAATTATTGAAACAGGAGAGCTAAAATAAGTATTAAACCTTAAAAATAATAGATAGTATGAATTAAACATGGTGATATCACTTGTAATCCAAGGACGTGGTTAATGGTTAATGGCTGGTCAGCTGAACGTTGACAAATCTGCTCATAGCTTTCTTCTTGGAAAATGTTGAATTGAACTTCTTTGTCAAGAAAAGTAGATTCACTGTTTCTGATTATTTTATATTCTTTTATTTTTGTATTATTCAACACGTTAAATTATATTAAAGTCTTGAGTTTCATATGAAATTTTCAACTATTAAATTCAAACCTATCACACGTTAAATTAGACGAATTTATAAATTTTTAATGATATAAACAGATTATTAATTTAAAATTTTCAAAGACGATTACTCCAATTACTCTATTCGATTCTGTCCATCGTATGTTGATGTTCATGAAAGCAAGTTAGGTTTTTTTTTAACAGAGTTAAGTAAAACTCTTAAATTAAAGTAGCCAAGAACATTGCCCTTCGTCAATAGGACCAATGTCTTCATCAAATTATTTGAAACCATCTCAGCAAATACAATACACTCTTAAAGCTATTCAATTTCTACAAGTCCATTGTCAGATTCTTCGAGCCAGCTTCCTCTTCAGTAACCGTTTCGCCTTCCATTCATGGATGCCATCAACAATCGTGACAAACCAATTTGGTTCACGTTTTCGAAAAGTGAAACATAACATAGCTACTCCGAATGGCATTCCACAGCCGTAACCTGTTAGCAATGCTTTCCAAAATTCACTTTCATCATTAGACTTTGACGGCGGCGGCGGAGGCGGTGGTGACAATGACGGAGGTGAAAGTTGACCGTCCAAGATGAAATTAGGAATCTGCAATAGTGGATTTCCCAGGAAGGATTCTTTCCCGAATGTTGCCAATTGTCCCGTTACTGGAATTCTACCAGCAATGAATGGATTGAACGAAATGTTGAAGTTGCTTAGGTCAGTCAACTTACTAAGCTCCTCAGGAAATATGCCTGAAAAATTGTTTTGTGACAAATCAAGATCCTGTAAGCATTTGATGTTTCCTATTTCCGTCGGAATTCGGCCTGAAAATCTGTTCCCGGAAACGTTTAGGACTAGAAGCGACAGCTTCTCCAGCTCTATAGGCATTTCCCCACTGAATTCATTGGAACCAAAATCTAACACACTCAAATGTTGCATCTCACCAATATCTGAAGGGATATCGCCTGTAATTTGATTCCCACTAAGCTGAAGAAAACCTGAGACCATGTATTCCCGAACCAGTGAGCCTCCGGCGCAGATTTGGAAAAAACCATATCCTTTAAGCAATCGATCCCATATGCTTCTACAAGTCTTCATGGTAAAAATTGTGTACACAAAACGCAAAGGTGAGTAGTCCATGTTTAGCAACCTCTTAGCGACCAAGCACTCCGTAGGACCGACATTCATCAGCTTTCTTTTCCGATTTGATTCAAATGTCGGATTCGGATTTCTTCCGATATTTGTCAAATCGAGAGGGAATTTCCCGGAAAGTTGGTTGTTAGCAAGGTTTAGCCATAATAGGCTGGTGCAGTTTCCAAGTTCAAGGGGGATTTCGCCCGTCAATGAGTTGTTTGCGAGCATTAGCCACAGTAGGGATCTCAAGTTTCCGAGGGAAGCTGGGATCGATCCGGAGAGGCCATTGAAGGAGAGATCAAGGACTTGTAGATTTGACAAGTCCCCATACTCAAATGGTATGTCGCCGGTAAATTGATTGTAGGCTAAGATTAAGAACTCCAAGCCTAGTATTCGAGAGATCTCAACAGGTAACCCCCCAGAAAAGTTATTGTAACTTAGATCAAGTCGAGACATATTCGTTAGCTTGTGAATCCCAGAAGAAAGTAAGCCATCTGTGTATGAATTTCCATGAAGTGCAAGAGATTTCAACCATTTGAATCTCCCAAAAATCTCTTGTACTTCTCCACCAAAACTGTTCTTGCTCAAATCCAGTAAGGCCAAATTCTTAAGGTTCAAAAGAGATTCAGGAATCACTCTAGAAAAACGATTGTTCCCCAATAGTAAGCCTTCCAAGGTCGAAACTGATCCCAGCACTGAGGGAATTGGCCCTGAAAAGTCGTTTCCCCACAGATTCAGGGTGACCAAATTCTTGCAATTCGAAATCTCAACCGGAACTTCACCATGGAACTTGTTTTCTGATAAATCCAATACCTGCAAACTACAATTCTCCTTAAAGCATGATGCTGTGACTGATTCTGTAACATAGTTTCCAGAAAGTGAAAACTCAATTAGCCTTGCAAACCCTGTCCAAATGTTACCACCAAAACTGTTGGAACTCAAGTCCAGATACTGCAAATTCGAGCACCCATCGAAGTAATCGAGTCGACCAGAGAAACTATTCCCCGAAAGATTTGCAACAACTAGTCTATGGCAAAATTCTGGGAGACTAAACTTAACCTCCCCCTGGAACCGATTAGTGGACAAATCAAGCTTCTCTAAACTGGTCAATCCAGTCAAGTTCAACTCACCTTCGAGGATATTGTGTGATAAGTTGAGGTACATCAGGTTGTGGCATCGATTCAAATCGTCAAGAACCGGTCCATTCAGTGTGTTTTTTGAGAGATCAAGATATTGAAGTTCAGTTAAGGCTGAGAAGTTGTTGAATATATTCCCCGAAATCTTGCTGTCCGAAAGGTCTAATCCAATGATTCTTGCCCCGCCATTAGAGCACAAGACTCCATGCCAATCACATGGATTTGAGCTCCTTTGGTTCCACTCCACGTATCTTCCTCGATTCACTCGGTTTTGTTCTTCAATAAAAGATTTCAGGTGCATCAACACTTCTTTGTCTCCGTCTAGTGAAAAACTCCCTGAAACAGCAGCAGCAAAAGCTGCAAATCTAAAGCACTTGTAATTTCATCAAACATAAATGGATCACTAGGGATACAATTGTTCAAGATAAGAGTAACAAAGCTGTTATGAATTAAAAGAAGCTAAACGGGTTTGCACCTGTAATAAGGATTAAGAACATTGGGGTTATGAACGTGGAACACCGTGAGTCAGCTTTGCCTTCTAACAACATGGTCTTCTTCTTCTGGCATGAAAATCTGGGCTTATGTTAAATTATTAAGTTCTTTAAAGGAGAAACAGGTAACTGTGACATAAGGCATGGGCCCCAATTTTTTTTTCCGGACCTGCCCTTCAATTTTGGGAACCATATTAATTGTCCTTCCGTTCAACCGCCGTCAGATTTGAACGAGTCTTTGGCCTTGGGGGCTAATGCCCTCTCCTTGTAATTAATTATTTTAATTCACACTATTTTTAGAAACAGGAAAAATATTGAATGTTTAGATTATATTTAACTAAATAAAATTTAGAGAAAATCGCCTCAGTGACCAAAAAAAAGTTATAATATACGATTTTAACCAACTTTTTTTGGATTTGCCAAAATGACCAACAAAATCGCAACGCGAAATAAAAATCGCAACGCGATCCCCAGAATCGCAAATCAGTTTCCAAAATCGCAACGCGATTCTTGAAAATCGCAATGCGATAGTACAAATTCGCATTGCGATTTTCCAAAATCGCAACGCGAATATGAAAATCGCAACGCGAACACATAAATCGCAACGCGTATCCGTAAATCGCAACGTGTATCCGTAAATCGCAACGCGTATGGGTAAATCGCAATGCGTATCCGTATATCGCAACGCGTATCGGTAAATCGCAACGATAATACATAAAATCGCAACGCGTATCCGTAAATCGCAACGCGATATTTAAAGCGCCATTATAATCGCTACGCGTATTTTATTTTCAAATTACAAAAACGAATATTAAGACAAAATCCCGTAATCGCAACTCATAACCTAAAACCTAAAATCACAACTCAGTCCCATCTCCATCTCTCACTCTCTACGGCGAAGAAATCCGTCCCCATCTCCGAAGATTTCCGTCCCCATCTCCGGCGAAATCCCTCACAACCATTCACGGTCAGAAATCCCTCACAATATTCAGAAATGGAAAATCAACCTCCGAGGGTTAGTTTTTTTAATTATTTTTATTTTGAAATGTTTGCATTATTTTAGGTTTTTCATATTGAAACTGATGATAAGTTTACTGGTCATTTCAATAATAGATTAACCATTTCACTTAGATTTCATTTCGCGTTACGATTCTGTCGTTGCGATTTTCATTTCGCGTTGCTATTCTCTCGTTGCGATTTTCAAGTTAGTATTTGTCTTTGTCTTTGTTCTGTCTTTTGGTTGAAGTAATGCAATCCATTCAAGTTTCAATTTGCAGAAGAGTCGCAACGAGATAAATGAAAATCGCAACGAGAGAATGACTGTCGCAACGAGAGAAATGAAAATCGCAACGAGAGAATCGCAACGCGATATGAAAATCGCAACGAGAGAATCGCAACGCGAAACCAAAATCGCATTGCGATTTTCATTTCGCGTTGCGATTCTCTCGTTGCGATTTTCATTTCGCGTTGCGATTCTCTCGTTGCGATTGTCATTTCGCGTTGCGATTATCTCGTTGCGATTTTCATTTCAACCAAAAGACAAAACAGTGTTGCAAATTTTAGTTTCAAGAATAAACTACTACTTTTTATGTTTATTGTTTTTGGTATATCTTCACAGTGTAGTTTTTGGTATATCTAACTTGGTATGTTTATTGTTTTTGTAGAAATTTTTTTCGGCTCAATTGACCTTGAGAAATAAAGTCAGCCTGGCCACTACAATTGCTTCGAAGCTTTCACCTGCTCAAAGACAATTGTTTGAGGAAACCTGCTTCGGGCCATGGCTGAGAGTACAGCATCCGGGTGGAGATGCTAATTTGACCCATTTGTGGCTTCATACCATGACATCAAATCTACCCGACAGTATACAACGTGGTGAGGAAGAGATATGGTTTCATTTTCCACCAGCGTATACTTGTTTTGGGCGGAAGTAGTTCTGCTTAATCACTGGTCTACGATTCGGACACGATGATGTAGGCCGGTACACTCGTCATATCGCCCGCCCATCATGGTTATCCCGGGTTTTTCCGGATGAGTCAATGGAGAAGCCGAACCTACATGTCGACGACCTGAAGAAATTGTTTAATAAGAAAGCTGGTTTCACTCAGATGGATGACGTCGATGTTGTCCGAGTATGCCTTCTACTACTTGTGTATGCCGGCTTTTTAGGCAGAGAGGCCAGACAACCTATTCATCGGGAGCTAATAATATTGGTAGAGGACCTGAATGCATGGAATCTGTTTCCGTGGGGTTCGTATATATGGAAAGCTACCTGGACTAAGTTGTCGTCTGCCTTTGATGACCGCAAAAGTTTGCGGGGCGATGGGTCCAAATACACTTTGTCAGGCTTTGTTTGGGCCTTTAAGGTAAGAATTTCTATATAATGTTTCTAAAATTATAATTAATTATTTAACAATTACTAATTTTGTTATTATATTGTTTGTAGATTTGGATATTCGAGGCTTTCCCCAGCATGCGTACATATGCAATAAAACGTCAAATGATATTCCCAGGGCTATTTCCTGGAAGAGGAAAACTCTGTTGGATTGGGAAGACTTAATACCATATGCGAAAATAAATAATGTAAGTTAACACAAATACTTTCATATAATATAAACAAGTTATTAATAGTAGACGTTTAACTTTGTTTGAGTTTTTATATTTTAGGAGGCCAACATTCCATTACAAAGACTGACACCCACGGAGGAAGAGCTTGCCACTGATTGGTGGCAAGCTAGTCAGAGTTTTTTTGATGGCACGGATGATGAGCAGCATCCACTTCCTCCAATTCGAGAGCCATCACCTCACCTAGAGCCATCACCCGATCGACCCGACTATACACCTCTAGAACGAGAGCCATCACCTATCCCGTCACATCATCGAGCCTCTTCTCCACCATCACCTCATGATAGGCGACCGGCAAAGATGCCACGACTCCTATCTCCCTGTTCTCCACCTCCACCTCAACGGGATGAGTCAAGGGAGTTACGTGATGAGGTCAATGCCTTGCGTGAGGAGATCGGTACTCTACGCGATAACGATGGTGCATGGCGTGTGGAGGTGTCAACTTTACGTGGTGAGGTTGCCGCTCTACGTGAGATGATAGTATCATTGCAGAATGAGGTTCATACTCTACGCAACGAGGTAAGTTTAAGATTTTCCATATTTAACTTAATGATAAATTTACTCGTAATTTCACTTAGATTAGCCATTTCACTTAGATTGCTTAGTAAATTTATTCGGTTGCTGCCAATTCTGCTAAACTGTGTATTCTTTAACACTGTGAAATAGTATTTGTCTTTGTTTTGTCTTTTGGTTGAAAGTAAATTTGTTCGGTTGCTGCCAATTCTGCTAAACTGTGTATTCTTTAACACTGTGAAATAGTATTTGTCTTTGTTTTGTCTTTTGGTTGAAAGTAAATTTGTTCGGTTGCTGCCAATTCTGCTAAACTGTGTATTCTTTAACACTGTGAAATAGTATTTGTCTTTGTTTTGTATTTTGGTTGAAGTAATGCAATCCATTCAAGTTTCAATTTGCAGAAGAAGAAATAGTTTACTTTCGCAACACGAAACTTAAAATCGCAACGCGAAATAAAAATCGCAACGACAGAATCGCAACGCGAAACCAAAATCGCAACGACAAGATCGCAACGCGAAACCAAAATCGCATTGCGATTTTCATTTCGCGTTGCGATTCTTTCGTTGCGATTTTCATTTCGCATTGCGATTCTGTCGTTGCGATTTTCATTTCGCGTTGCGATTTTGGTTTCGCGTTGCGATTTTAAGTTTCGTGTTGCGAAAGTAAACTATTTCTTCTTCTGCAAATTGAAACTTGAATGGATTGCATTACTTCAACCAATAGACAAAACAAAGACAAATACTAACTTCAGGGTATTAGTTTGAAACATATTTTTCTTTGTTATCTGATGCATTTTGTGAACTATGATAGAATAATGACTTGGGTGAATACAATGCAAGTTTGAAACATATTTGTCTTTGTTTCACTGTTTAAATATCATGTCTGTTTATTTACTGATTTTTGTATTTAATTATTTAGCGGCCCGATAGAGTGGATGCTTTACGTCGGGTTATGCTTGCACGACGGAGTTCACGCATCAGACAGCGTGCACGTGCTATTAAGTCTCCGTACACCCCAATAGTGCGAAGACACCGTAAGAAGAAGCCCGACTCGCCTGTCATCCCTCAAGAGTCCACTCCTATCGTTGAAGAGGCCCCCCCTATCATTCCTCGAGAGTCCCCTCCCACCGTTCAAGAGGCCACAGTCATCATTGAAGAGGTCCCTCCCACCATTCAAGAGCCCGATTCACATGGCGTCATATGTAGGCTTCTTGAGAAACCCTCTGACGTGCCGGACATGATGGATTCAAGTTGGCTCTCGTATGAGTTACCGGCCAGTACCATACCGGTATCTGAAGAGGAGAGGGAACAACTACCGGACACAATTCTGGATAACACCCTTTGGGCTAAGACCGCTGTTGATTTTTATCTACATGAGCAGAGCTAGGGGTGTTTCACTGACATATGCAAGCTCACCGATGATATCTATTTGTTGCTTGATCGGTCTTGGTGGGGCGTATTATTAGGGGTCGAAGACAATGTCTATTTCGATGGGGGGGTAAGTCTTATATTTTTCTTATATTTCAATTTGATTAATTTTTTTTAAAATTTATGTAAGTCACTAATATATGTCTTTTTTTGTAAAACAGCATATCGATGCGTGGGTGACACGTCTTCTAATAATAAGAAAACTTAAGAAAAATAAAAATATACGATATACAATTATGCCGACGTCTTTTCACGCCGTTCACTTGAAGAATGCACGAGATGAATCATTTGATTTGGGCAATGGACAAGCTAAACTTTATCCTGCATGGTGGGAGGTCGATAAGGTTAGTATTTATTTTAGATTGAGTTTAAAGGTTTTATGAAATAAGTGCGCAAATGAATGAATTATTACTTATGATTGCAGGTGTTTATCCCTGTTTGGAACGTAAACATTGGATTCTCGTCGAGCTTCAGCTCCCATCCCTTAAGACAATAATGTATGACAG